TGGACAATCCTACAGAATTTAATAGAAAATTATACACTTACTATAGAACTCTGTGGAATGGTTTATATAAACCTACTGAAAAGCTCATTCTCTATTAAATTTTGTAGGTTTTAAAATAATTTCTTGAGAATCCCACTGGTTTATCTATTAAATTCTTTTGGATTTTCATAAGGGCTGGACAACTTCTAGTTACTGAAAAACAGAACAGACTTTGAATAACTTATTTAACTTAGTAAAGAGGTATGCATCTTCATACAATTAGTTAAATCCCTAACTGTTTAATATTTATATTTTTGCAATCTATTCAATGCCCTATAACCATGTAGTAATAGCAGGATACTGAAAATGAGGGATTAACAAAGGGCCTGATTCTGCACCACTTATGGGGGGAGAGCAGTTCCACTGATATCACCTGAGGAAGGGCTGCAAGATCAGGCCTTAAAGTGGCATCCGATGTATTTGAGAGACATACGTGTCTTGATTCTGAAAGATGCAATTCCCATTAAAGTCAATAGAATTTGCAGATGCTCTGTACTCACCCCTCACCCACCTAGGACTAGGTCCAAGATATCCTTGTTTGGCCCAAGCAGCTTTTGCAAGGTGCAATTAAAACGCAATCAGAGCTTATGCTTAAATAAATGCCAAAAGAAAAGCCCCCAAAACATTGCTCGGAGCTTATTCAGTAATAAATATATCACTAGCTGGATCAGAGGAGTAATGCAATATAGAGCTAGAGTTAAAGCTCTACGCTTGTTAACATCAAGTATTGATTCGTGGGTAACATTACCCCTTTTAATTAAGATTATGCTTCATAAAGGCAATTTTTCAGGGACAGCGGTTGGCCTTCAGCCTCATGCCTTTCAGCGAGTCTTGGTACTCACCTGGTCACATGGAGAGCTCTGTACCTGGTCACATGGAGAGCTCTGTGGTGTCTCTCAGGCAAACTGATTATTTCTCATAAAACCAGGGCTGTTCTGTGGCACTAGAATGTGGTGCTCTCATGGTTTACTCCACCCCTCACTGCCAGCTGAAGTACTGTGTGCTGTTTCTATCAAATACCTGGAACTAAATTCCACAACACTGCCACAAGTACTCCTTTTCTTTGAACTGCATCAGAGGGTTCCTTTTGAACTAACAAAAAAAAAAAAAAATCAGACCCTGTTGAACTTTGCTCTGGTTCAGATACTTGGCCCTGAGGTTTCACGGCATGAAGTTAACAGGATGGGGTGGGAAACAATGCAACCCAAGGTTCCTCCCTTAACCTCGGAGCATAACCTATACAAATATTTCTAACATAACAAATACTAATTTTTGATTTGCTATAGTATCATCCATCCAAAGATTTCATAGTGTTTCACAAGTATTAATAAAGCATCACAACCCCCTGTAAGGAAGGTATGTGGAAACTGGCACACAGAGGTGAAGGGCAAAATCCTGAACCTATTGAAGTTAATGGGAGTTTTGCCATTGACTTCAGTGGGGCCAGGATTTCACTTTAAGTGATTTTGCTAAAATCATACAGTGGGTCATTGAAAGAGCTTGGAATAGAATCCAGATCTTTTGACTCACAATCCTATTATCTAACCACTAGATCATGCTAGAAAGAACCCCAGTAAGAAATACGTGCAGAATTTCCACCCATGCAAAGTGAATTCTGATTTAGGCAGGGCAACGCTGAACTCAAGACAAGTCTAAGTAACTTCCTTATATCCAAAATTACCCAGAAAAGAAGGTAGCAATAGCTGGGGACATGTGTTAAGAATGAAGCCAGGACATCTGCCATGACAGGCATGCCATTGGGCAGCTGGAGGAACACATCAAAGGGGCTAACTGACATAGCACAGTGCTCGGAGAAGGAAAACTTATGGACTTAACAACGTGGAGGACATGCAAAGAGCAGCCCAAGGTAGACAGGAATGGCAAAGCCTTATTGATACTTTCAGTCATATTTGACAGCACAGGAAAGATTCAGAATGGTGAATCAGGCTTGCTGTGTAATTGCAAGGACGCCAAAGTAAGACTACGTAATAGGCAAGACAGGACCATAAAAAACCTAACTCATTCTGAATCACAGAGATAAACAGCTGAATGATATCTGAAGAAATTCTCACCTTGCCTTTGGTTAGAACCTCTTAACCGGAGACACCAAAGTTGATGTGCTTTACCAGCAGGAATCTAAAGATCCCATGAAGTCTTCTGAAGATTTAGTTGGAAGGAAAGAAGATGGAGGGGGTTATAGGTGGAAGAGAAAAATTGGCTTCTTTCTGTAGAAAATCCTTTACAAGGATAAAGCTCAGTGTCATAGAAAGCTAGACACTAAGTCAAAGGAGACATTCCCTACCAAAAAGTGTTATAGAAAGTACATGAGAGAGAGAGAGAGATAAGATATGTGGGTCTGAGTAGAATGTCTGTAGCTTCAAACTTCATTAAGTCTGATTTGATTTAATTTAAACTCTAAGCTCTTTAGCAAAGAAAAATTGTGCCTTATTTTTTCTATAGTACATATACAAATGAATAAGAGTTGAATTCCCTTTACGGTCTAATGGCCTTACCTGTGTGAAGATTGTTACAGTTTTTCCATTGAGAAGAATAAGGGGAGGGAGGGATGGGGGGAAAATCAAAAAGCTTAGTGAGGGAATCTGATTTTTTAAGATGAGGCATTAAATCCCTGCCAATGGCTCTGAAATAGAGAAACTGAAGAAAATAGACTTGTAAACTTTCCAAGTCTCTTTCTTGCAGTGTGAGCGAGGATTTGGACTGAGAATTTTCAGATCTCTGAGGATTACAGTTTATCTGCAATAGATTCTCTTATTTTTATTGTTTAAATAAAACAAATTTTGATGTACAAAAGTCACAGAATTTAAAGAACACAATTAGAGTTTTATAAGTTAACAATACTAAATGATGAATGCTACCAGAGGGCTTTCTAGTAAATGAAGGGAATTATACTGCATTAGATCTTAAATTTAAGAAAAAAACAAAAAATAACCCCCTCCACCCCCCACAGTATTTGACCAGTTATTTACCTAAAAAGAAAGACAACTTAAGACACCAGAGATGAACTTGCAAAGTTGTATAGTCAACATGTTTGATTAGTTTTCTGCCTTTTTTATGTTAAGGTGGGGAAAACTGTAGATATTATGAACTATACATTGCTGCAGTGCTAGAAAAGGGTTGTTAGGGCCATTTTATTGAAAACGGATGACCATTTTCCCACCATGGTTTGGGAAGGATAAAACAAGTTTTATTTTGCTCTTTTAGGAGATGAACAAATCTTTCCATATCTCACAGGTGATTTCAAAAGGACTGCAGGGATTTCAAAATGTTTCCTTAATTGTGCAATAGCAATAGAGTCCCTTCTATCAACAGAACAAAATAGCCTATGGAATATGGCACATTTATCAAGGAGACATTCCCAGTAGGGTTCCAATAACTGAGAGCAACCACTCCTTCCTCTGTCATTCATTTCTATATATTGAGAAGGGGGAGCGAGTTATGAAGATAATTGTGATTCAGTGCACAAATTACAGCTTTATTTTTTAACCCCCAAAGAAAAGGAGTTCAAGAAGTTTTAAAGAATAAAAGACAGATTATTCTCTACTCTGGATAATTCCATCGTGTTTCGCCCTCTACGCTTCTTAAAAAAGAAAAGAAAAGTGTGGCAATATGATATTTTTAAATTGAGAAATCAGACCCTTTTGGAAAGATTATATTGCAGAAAAGTCATCCCCTGTAATAAATTACTTCTGATCACTTGAGGAGAAAGAAAAAATGAAGTCCATTCCCCTTGTGATTAATGCTGATTCCTGTTTGCACTCTCATTTCCAAGGTCTGCATTTCCAATCCCACTCTCCTCTTGGACTTCTGTGCCTTGCATATGTCCCTCTCTGTTTTTTCCATTTCCTTTCTGATAATGGATTTTCAGACTATATCGTTTCTAGTCTTGTCTTTCCACTGTGATGCCAGGACTGGTACCAGAAAATAAAACCCTACCTTGTCTCTGTCTGCAATGCAATTGGTGGAGAAGGGCACTCAAGACATTTTTCTCCATAATATATATATATATATATATATATATATAGATGGAGAAAATATATGTGCAAATATAAATGACTATATGCATAAATCTTCGTTAATTAACTACAATTTAAAACATGTAACCACGCAGCCCCATCCAAAGTTAAAACTGTAGCAACAAAACCGCATAGCGATACAGAGAAGATTGTGGGGAATAGAGCAAAGATGGAGTAAGAAATAAAGGAAAACGGAATTGCAGGACAGTTGCATAAAATAAAATGCTAAAGAGCAAAGGTCATCCAGTAAAGATCTGACACTCCAGTGGCTGAGCGCTAAAGTGTCCTATTATGGAGACAGCTCCGGAGCCACTTGGTACTAACAAGATAGAGGGCTTGGAGAGAAGAAAGACATAAAATCAGGTTTCATACTCCACGGAAAGACCAGGTACAGGTTTTATTTGTAAATCTAGGGGATCCTGCATGGATGCCCGTTAGGGGAAGGGGTGGGGACGAAGGAAAGGAATCTCCATCAACAGAAGAAAAGCCTAATGCGACTCAAAATAATAATAATAAATAATAATCCCAACCCAAATCTGGTAAAAGACGCCTGCCGTGTCCATACACCAAATGCAGATGTTAATGGGAGAGCAGGAAAAGGAGTTTCAATACGAATCATGGGAACACATGCGAATTGTCCAGGAACCAGGATATTTCTTTTCTTGCAAGAATGAAAATTTCCCTTTAGGTCAGGAGACACCAGACAGCTATATATAAAGCATAGGTGTATATATAAATATATATAATATGTTTTACTTTTAGAAAAATCATAACATACACATTTATTTGTGTCAAGTGTCATGCAAAGGGAACAGATAAATGCACCGAGAAGGACAGCAAACATTTTCTTGGAGGGGGGGGAATGGGATTTATTTTTCTATTTTATATATATATATATATCTCCACAAATATGAATCTCCCACTTACTTTAAAGAGTTCAGACAAGACCATCTCTCAACAGGCAAGTTAATCCTAAATCCGAGACAGATCAAGGAGCTGGACCTGCAAATCCCTGGCACGAAACACCATGGATCTCAGAGAAGGACCTGCAAGTGCTGTGCTGTCAGCAGCAGTAGCTTCCCCCTGCTTCGCCTCGATGTTGCAACAACTGCTGCCTGGGAAAATGGCTATTTTATGAATGGGAGGAAAGGGACCCCCTCTGCGCATGCCTGTCCTCCCAACTCTATGAATGGGTGGGCACTGAAGCCCCCAGGCGCATGCTCTGCTCTCTTTTATGAATGGGGGCCGGAAGGGAACTTGTTGCAAGTTGCGAAGGCTAGATGTGGGTTGGGTTTTTTTTTTTTTATGAATGGAGGGCAGGCAGCAGCTGCGCATGCACTATACCCCCCCAGTCTTAGGCTGAAGGTAAAGCAAACCGCAGCAAAGGCGGCGTGCATGTGCAAGGAGGAGAAATAAGGGGCGGCGGGGGAAGATGGGCTTATTGGGGGGGTGGAGGGGTTGGAAGAGGGGATGAGCCTTGGTGGGTCCCTCCAATGTTCAAGGCGTGTGGTAGAGCATGGCAGAGGCTGGGAGCGTTGTTCTTGCTACAGGTCTGGCCGTTGCTCCTGATTGCTGCTGCTCAGATGTAAAACTGCAGAGGTCCCCGTTTCTCCTCACCCGAGCTCCAGGGGCTGTGGTGACAGCATGCAAGTTCCCCTTCCGTCCCCAGGCAGCTTTTCTCCCGGCAGGACAATCCCCGGGCCACTGCTGTCTTTCTGTCTCTGGCATTTCCAGCGCGACAAGGGGAGTTCTGCTGATCTGCAGCGGGCAATTGTTGTGACCGTCTGCAGAGCAAAACACGCTAAGCGCAGGGAAGCGTTGGGCCACCATGAGTCAGTTATTTCTCCTGTGATTATTTTATTCTCCATCCCCTTTCTCCCCTCCCAAGCAAAATAGGGATCTGTATAAGGAAAACGGAATTCACACGATGTACTAGCATTAATTCTGTTTTGCCCTTTTCAATTAAAATCTGCAGTTTGATCTTTTAAGCATCTGGGAATCTCAGCCAGGACTGGATTTTCGAAATAATGGGGAATCTTTATATTACGCCTTTATTTATTCATTATTGGTTTAACCCCATTGGAGTGCATGGCACTTCCCAGACAAGAGAAAAGGAGCTCCCTGTCTTACTGACGGACAATGAGAACTCGCATCATGCTGTGGAGAGGGAGAAGGAGAAACAGGGTACAGGGGAAACCATTCTCAGGGAAGCCTTTATTTACGAGGAAATCTGATAATTTATTTGGCAGGCAGGCCTGGTGTACTTGCTTGTTTATACCGTGTATAGGTACATGAAAGTGACTAGATGGGAGAAAGAGGAGAAATAGTCTGTAGCTGTTGTTAGCGACCAGAATCCAGCATTTTGTGTGGGCGAGAGAGTGTGAAATATAATGTGAAATAAGTCATGGCGAAAAATAGCTTGCTTTGTATTGTAAATCGTTTACCAGTAGTTAGACTTTCAGTTCAATCATTTTAGTGCAGCATAGCATAGCTATACAACAGTGTCATCCCAATAATACATCAGGGCTGATGTTTACTGTTAGTTTGCAAGTAAAGTCTGTAGGGGACAATATCGCTGATATGCAACATATTTAGATTTTGATTAACTTCAGTGTAATTCACCAGAGTCACCTTCTTCACTGATTTATTCCCTGCCCCAGATTTTAATGAAACCATCCAGAGGAGAAGGATGGTCTTGTGGCTAAAACTAGGACAGTGAGTGAGAATTTAGATTTGGGTTCTATTCTCAACTCTGTTGTTGGCTTCCTGTGTGGTTTTGTGCAAGTCATGTAAGCTCTGATCCAATCATTCAAAGCCCATTGAAGTCCATGGGAGACAGGCCCTTAGGCTCAGGAAGTGCTTAACACCAGGCAGTTACTATTGTTCTGCTTCTGGGTGCTGAGCTCCCTTGAAAATCTTGTCCTAACTGTGGATGCTGAGCATTCGGAAATTAAAAACTCCTTCCGTGCTTCCAGTTCCCATCTGTAACCAGAGACATTTTCCTGCCTTGCCGAGGGGCTACCAATATATAACTGATTGCTGTTTGCAAGAGTCTTCAGAATCCTTGCACAGACAGTGCTAGGAAAGTAGAAAATATTAGAAATAACAATTTGTTGTTTAATGCATTATAGTCATTGAAGTGGACACTTACGAAGTGCTGAGCAGATTTTTTTTTTACATTTCCCACTACAGTCAGTGGAAGGTATCATTAGGACCTTGCACAGCACTTTGAAAATGTAATATTATTTATTATTCATCTATTGCTAAGGATGAATGCAGTGTTGTACATTAGATTAAATATGCCACATAAATACAATTCTTCCTCTCAAAGAAGGTAAACCCGGTAGATTGCAATTGGTATTCAGTCATGTTTGTAGGTTTCTGAGGACAGGGAACCTTTCCAGTTATGTACGGTTGTTGTTATTGGACTGTCTGCAAATGAAAAGGGTTGGGGGAGGGGAGAGAGAAACCAAAATGAGCAAGTCATTTATGTTCTCATGAAAATGCTTAATAATAACACATTTGAAAATCAGGGGCATATAAGAGAAAACTGACCTGAGGTATCCTTTTACCTTCCAATGTATGCATTGAAAGATCTATTATTCCTGCACTTGCATAACAGTGTTATCAGTGTTCATGTTAACAGCAGTGATGTGTGTATGGAGGAGCAAATATACCCCTGAGCCTGGGCCCAACACGTAGTTTCTCTAAAACAAAGTCCTACAACAAAAATAATGTATGTAGGGTACAATCAATATTGCATTCTGTTTGTGTAATGTTATGCAGTTCCATGACCACCAGCTGGCTGTTGGCCTCCACCCCAGAAGTAGCTGCAGTTGTGGTTCAGCCATTTGTAAAATACTGTGAGATCTTTTGCTTGAATGATGTTACATAAAATATTATTACTAGATCTTAAACATGCAAGATTGACATCTTCTTTTTTAAAAATTACCTAAAAATAATGGAAATGGTTGCCAAAAAGGGTTTTATTTACTGTTATTGCTTGCATATAATTACATATAATGTTATATTAAAAAGGCAGAAAAACCAAAGGATTTTCTCTGCATTTCCCTGTTCAGTAGATTAGTAAATATTGGGCTAAAAGAAGAAAATGTAAAGGTAACTTTAACTGAAGAAGGAAATGCACAGGGCTACCCTATTGTTATTTTTATGGCTGAAGACCAGCTAGAAGTTGAGAGGTTCAAATGCCCAAGCAAAGAACTCTGGATCTGATCACTCTCAGGCACAAATTCTGAACCTTGATCTGAATTTTGCAAATGTGCTGTAACTTAATACTGTTGTTTGCTGTGGTGTTGTAGCTGTGCTGGTCCCAGGATATTAGAAAGACAAGATGGGTGAGGTAATATCTTTTATTGGAACAACTTCTGCCGGTGAAAGAGACAAGCTGTCGAGCCTACGCAGCACTCTCCTTCAGATCTGTCTCTTTCACCAACCAAAGTTGGTACAATAAAAGATGTTACCTCCCCCACCTTGTCTCTCTGTAACGTTATATCAACATGAGATCCAAATGTACCCCCTCCCCAAAATTAGAGGTGTTCAAAACTAGGTTCTGAGTTATGTGATCAAGCACATCTGTACAGCAAACATAACAGAAGTCCTTTGCTACCACACAATACATTTTGCTCCATGAATCCCTAACTGCCTGTGTGGCAACTGGTAAACTGCTATGTTTATCAAAAAAGGCTGATGCCATAATTAAACCGTATAACTATAGGCACAGCAGAGCAAAAGCCTATAATCTTTGATATAGGCACTAACAATGGGACACAGAAGAGGGGAACCCAGCAGGGATAACCCACTGCACCTAAGAAAGGAAGCAAAAGATTAGTCCCCAAGTGCGAGGGAGAGGACAGTAGAAATGGTTTACAGTATTGTTGGAATCCATACAACTTGCATCAGGAATAAGATATATTTTTTTAAAGTATATTTTTGGGAAAATGAGAAGATTTCCTGCTTTGTTTCCCCTTCCCTCCCCCAAATCCCACTCATGCCTGTGAATGACTGGAAGGTGACTTCCTTAGGAACTCATTGTCTTTGCTCTGAGCTTTGGCCAGAAGGGATTGCTCAAGAGCTACATCAAGTTCTCCATTCGCTCCAGGGTTGAATATGCTGATTCCTCAATGCTATCAACCTCTGTGGTAGCAATACTGGTCTGGCATTGCAAACCCCAAGCACCCAAATCAGGAGTCAGGCCCTGAAAGATAATGAGATTGACCTAATAATAATGATATTAAAATAATACATTTGGGTTCTTTTTATTTGTCCTCTCTTTTTTGACCCTTTAGGTTTTTCAACTTTTCTCTGCAACCATGAGTAACTGAAGCTTAATACTCTGTTTTTATTCAAATGAAAGTTGAGTTTCTCGCCTAATCACATGACGGCAGGAGCTGGGGCTTTAAGAAAATCACCAGCTATCATGAGGCTTATGATAAATGTGCAAGAACTGGAAATACTAGTGGCAAAAAGCTCCTCATTGCATGCTTTTCTTATGCCATAAATTAATTGCTTACATAAAACTCAGTGCATCATTTAATCCCTTTAAACACCCGTCTTAAATGGGCCCAGATTCTCATTCGAGCCCCTGCACTGGAGTGAATTTTGCCATATGTGCATTGCATACAACTTAGCATCCCTTTGACTATTCTGGCATACCCTTGGAAATATTGACAGGTTTCAGAGGAACAGCCGTGTTAGTCTGTATTCGCAAAAAGAAAAGGAGTACTTGTGGCACCTTAGAGACTAACCAATTTATTTGAGCATGAGCTTTCGTGAGCTACAGCATCTGATGAAGTGAGCTGTAGCTCACGAAAGCTCATGCTCAAATAAATTGGTTAGTCTCTAAGGTGCCACAAGTACTCCTTTTCTTCTTGGAAATATTGTAAGACCAGCTCTGCTGCTCTGAGGGAGACCAGATCATTGTGAGGCATCGTGCTGCTTTTAGCCTACCAATCCCCAGGTCGTTAATTCCTTTACTGGAATTTTATTTATAATGAATGTTTGTGCCGCTAATGCAGCTCATTCCCCAAACCCCCAATACTTCTGTCTTTGGTTTGACAGGCTCACCATTCCCTGAGTCTGAATATGTCCTGGAGGAAGCTTCTAATTAAATGACAGCTCAAAGAAGACCTTCTGAGTCGTGACTCAAATTGCAAATGAAGGCCCTATAACTGAGGCACTCATGTATTTTAACAACACTATATTGATCTGATCCATCTTCTATTGCATTCTGTCCTCTTGGTGCATTGAAAGTTTGGCTCTGGATATGTTTGTACTTCTGCATGCTGCGTGTGCTGGTTTGGTGCGTG